TCAGGTCATGGTTTGCAGTTTTTCTCCAGCAAGTGTTGGAAGCTGCCATTTTCTTTTCTGGCTGAGTCTCCTTTTGTACCAGCTGCGTTTGTGTCTGCAGCATCCTCACTGCACTGGTTATTTAGTTTACACCTGTGCAGACCTTGGTGCGGCCTTGGGCGCGTGTGGAAGAAGATGTCGGTGTGCCCTTATTCGCGTGTTCACCCCACGGCTACGGCTGCAGGAGAGCGGAGGCTGTCAGCGTAGTTTGGTTCTTTGTCTTTGTCACCAGGACTGGGGTTGTTTTTATTTCTCTAAAACCCTTTAAAACACACCTGAAGGTAGAGTTTTTCCTGGAGGGAATTGAGAGGATGCTATTAGAAGGCCTGGGGTATAGGAATAGACCATTCTTGGGTGGTGGCCCAGAGAGGAGAAAATGAGACCAAGCAAAGATAACATTGCTTAGCGAAATGCTAAGTGTCAGGCATTGTCCTTGTACCTGTTAAGTCAGAATCTTTTGATAAGGCTTCGGAGAAAGACACAAAAACAAAAACAAACAAAAACCTCCACAAAGTCTCCCCATGGGATTCTGACGGGCACATCCAGTTAAATGCCACCTCGTTAACATCGTACTGACATTCTTGGAGACTAAAATAACTAATGTCCAGAGAAGGAACTGTGCCCAGGGATGCACTGTGGGTACCCACAGTGCTGCCTGAAGGCAACCCCTTCCCCTGAAGGTGGAGGGCCCGTTGCAGGTGAGCGAGCAGCCACACATCCCCATCTCCTGTGGGCGGTCCGGGCACAGGTGTGAGTGGCAGCAGACAGCCTGTGTGAGGAGGAGGCCTCAGGCTTGGGGATCAGTGTGCTGAGGAGGCAGCGCGACAGGCCGAGCAGGTACTGGGTTTTAGCCATGTGACCTTGTAAGTTAGTGATTGAGCTCTCTGAGCCTCAGTTTCCTCAACTAGAAAATGGGTTGGCCAAACCTCTAGCTCCTAGGGCTGTGCTGAAGGTTAGGTACAATTGTCCCAGGGAGAGTCTGACACACATTTAAAGGCTCAGACTACTTACCCACGGTCCTGCCACAGGATTTTTTCCTGTGCCACTGTGAACTCAGTGAAATCAGCTCTAGTCTTCTTTCTCTTCTTCCCCTCTCCCAGTTCTCATGGCAAGGAGGACCACATCTGAGGCTGGGTTCCCAGCCAGGGATTGCGGGCCTGGGCTGGTCACTGTTTTGGTTCCAGCATCTTCCTCTCCCAGGAAGGGCATTGGTCCAGGGGCTTGAAGCGACCTCCCTTAGCTTCAGTTTGTAGGGACACCTTGCTGCCCATGTTGTCCCTTTTCCTTGGCTGCCTGGGTCTCCCTGAGTGTGCCACTGGCATGTCTCCCTGGCTGGGATTTAGTGATGCGAAAGCATCCACTGAGTGCTGTTGTTGGTCGGGACCCTTTTGGTTTCAAGTGACAGGAACCCAACTTGAATGAGCTTCAGCAAAAATGGGATATCATAGAACGTGCTAGGGGAGGCTCAAGGGAGGCGCTGCAGAGTTTAGCCCAGGAAGAGAACGGGTGACCGCAGCATCCCCAGAACAGCACCCCTTCTCAGTGGCCCGGGGCTGCAGATAGCCCCCAGCTGGCCCCCCCACCAGCCCTCCGCCCGTGCCAAGGGGACGAGGCCTCTCCTAGGATTTTTCAGGTTGAAACTCTTGCCAGCTTGGAGCACATGCACACCCTTTGTACCCATGAGTATGGCCAAGGGGGAAAGATGCTCTGGTGAACCTCCCTTGAGTCCTGTGCCCGCCTTTTTGTCTGGGGGGTGGAAGATGGGGTGAAACCTGTTGTCAGAACAAAGGGAGAAGGATACTAATACTATTAGTAAGTAAAAATAATACTTTTATTGCATGCTCACTTTGTGCCAGACATTATTCAACGCTCTTTACCTATCTAACTCATTTCATCTTCACAATCAACCCCATTTTACACACCAGGAAAATAAGGCACAGAGAAGTTAAGCAATTCGCCTGAGGCCGCATGCCTCGCTCATAGGAGAGCTGGGATGGAACCCAAGCAGAGGACTCCAGATGTGCTCTTAACCACCCACTCGGATGCAGGAAATAACAACAGATGTCAGCTCCAAGCACTTACTCTGAACTACACACTGGCCTATGTCCTTTATAGCGTTCACTCATTTCATCTTCAGAACAGCCCTATGGAGTAGGCACTAACAGTGTCCCTACTTTTAGGTAAGAAATCGAGGCTCATGTAGATTATGTGACTTGTCCAGAGGTCACCTGACTCATTTAAAGAGACAGAGCTGGGATAGGAAGCCAGGTTTGCCTGACTCTAGGGTCTGAGCTCAGGACCACCTCAGTGGGTAGCTTTTGCATTCTGACACTTTTCTTGCTCTGTCAGAAGTTCCCCTGGTGACTGGGACGAAGAGCAGACTTGGCTCAGCATCTGCACGTTCATCTTCTCTCTTTCGGGGTTTGGGGTGTGGAGACCCCTGCCTGATGCTGCTGGAGGGCTGTCTTTGTGGTTCTGAGCTGGTCTTGGTGTATTTTATACTAACATATACCAAAGGGTCCTGAATGAGCCTTCCATGCATCTAGGCTCTGGATTTCTTCATTCCTCCTCTCTTCAAATATCAGCAAAGTGCTCAGAAGGTGCCAGGCCCTGTTCTAAGTGCTCAGGGTCCCTTAGCGAAGACCTCACCTCTAGGGAGGCAGGCTTGGAGAACAGCAGAGAGGAAGGTCCTTGTCCCCCCACACTGCTATGTTCCTGGAGATCGATGAGGCCGCTCACGCTCACAGAAAACCTTTCCTGCACCACCCAAGTCCGGGCCACAGGGGCTTGGAGACCTCATGCTCCTTTGCTTGGTTCTGGCATGATGGCAAGCCCAAGAGGGGATCTGTTGTTTGTTTCTTCTGACTGATTACACAGGGTAGCATTGTGTCAAGGACTAAATGTGGGCATGGACTCAGGACAGCTCCGCCATGTGTCCCAGGCTGCTGTGGTCAGTGCTAAGTGAGTCTCCAGGTAAGGAGACGCTTGGTTGTACCATGCCTCAGTTTCCCCACCCTGTGACATGAGTTTACTACCTGACTCATTGACTTGCTGGGAAGAGTATCTGAAATAGTAAACGCTAACCACCCATCGCAGTGCCTGCATGTGGATTAATCCCTCTCCTTCCTTTAAAGGACTGACTGGCTTTGTGGATGTCTCTAAAAGACAGGGCCCGTGGAGGGGGGCAGCTACAAGGAGTCCCTGGTGATTGGAAATCACCAGTTAGGTCAAGCTTCTTATTTTACAGGTGAGAAAACTGAGGTTCCTCTAGGGGAGGGATGGTGCTGGGCCCTTGGACCTTCTGGTTTAGTGGAATTAAAGGGAACTCAAAGCATGTTTGGCTGGTGGTCAGACAGAAGATATGAGTTGGTACTTGAAGTGGCTAGGTCACAGTGTGCCCAGGCCCGTGTGGGAATATGACTGGTGGTCAGCCCTTGTAGGCTGGTCCAGAAATGCCCACCTGGACCCACCATACAGACAATACATGCAGAACCTCAGAGAGCTCCCGCTTCCCCGCTGCTGGTTTTAGCAGCATCCCAGGGTGGGTAGGAGCTTCTGTTCCTGAGATTTAAGGAGTGCAGGGAGGTCCCTGGTTCTCAAACCTAGTAAGACCAATGGTAGAAATTCTTTGCCATGACGTCCAGCACCCCCTCCCCCAACCCACTCTACCCAGAAGCTCCCCTTGAGAAGCAGGGGGAAGATAAGTCTTGAGCCTCTCTGACTTCTGGCTACAGGTGTCTACAGAGAGCCTACAGCTCAGGCGGATAGAATGTGGCCAAGGCAGGCCAGCCAGTTTGTCAACTGCCACGGGCTGCAGAGGTGTGGCCTGATAATGATGATGATGAGAGATGATGGCAGCCTCTGCCCAGGTGGCTGCCCTCAAAGCCTGCCTGGCCACTCACGGGGTGCGTGGGCCCATCACGGCTGCACTAGCACACCTCTTACCTGGGCGAGGCAAGGCCTGGGCTCCAGTGCTGCCATGCCATGGGGCCTGCTGCTCTCCAGGCCTGTCTTCCCATCTGTGAGGGGCCGCCGAGACAAAGCACGTCTAGCCTTTAACAGTGCTCTTTCCATGCATGGCCAGAGCTCAGTAAATAGTAGCTTCTTTCCCGTGAATGGTCTGAGAATCCTGAACAGTGAGTCCCAACCCCTGGGCTTTAAATGCAGATCTTTGTGATTAGAGAGAACACGTGTGTTTATGTGATCGCATAGGCCTACTGCCCCGTGGAACAGGAGTGCGTATGTCCAAGGAGTAAGGGTATCACCTCTTGCAGATCTCACATTGCATATCTGTGTTAGCTTCTGTCTCCTTGAGGAGGCCTCTTTTTCACAGATTTAGAATTGTGAAAGTAAACCCTTAGAGATGCCTTGTAGCTCTGGGCTCCCTTTTCCAAACAGGCGCAGAGGCATTTTCAGCAGAAACAGTAGATGTAACCAAATCATTTGGGTGGCCATCGGAAACCAAAATAATAATAATTTGTTTAGGAACTCAGTCATGATCAGATGGCCCACTTGTATGACTTCCTAGTGTATTTAGTGTTTTGGACATTTACACTGTAGGAAATGTGACACATTTCAACTTTGGTGACTTCTTGTGAAGTGTTTACCTCAACTGGATTTACTCGTGTCATGCCATAAACTTAGGAATTCTGGCATTTTCTGTTTCTGTTAAAGCGCCTAATAAAGCATTTTTTTTTTTTCTCAGAAAGCCTTTGAGTAGAGGCGTGAGAAGGCTTTAGGTGCCCAGACAGTGGCAGATAATAGAATTTGAGCACCTCACAATTCTTTTCTTCATGTACAAGATTGGGAGCACAGAGAGAAATTCTGCCGCTCTCCTCCTGTTGGGTAAAGTGTTATGAAGGGGCAAAGCACAGACGCATATAGGCCCTCTTGGTGGGGAGAAGATTGGAGGGTGTAATGTAAGGTAAAGTAACATTCACTGTGGGGTCTTGTTTTCAAAGGAACATGGCAATCTGTGGGAGGCTCGTCCTGGAAGGAAGCACCCCTGGTCACTGCAATGCCTAAGAATCAGGTGAGTAAGGCCCAATGATGGATCTCCCTTCTTGAGCCATTGAGTAGTTCCTGGGGGGTTGGCTTCAGGCTTTGGAAAGTGTAGGGGCGCTTGCACTCTTTTTACGTGCCCAAGTCAATGTGAGCCTATTTGAAGACACAATGGCTAGCGAAAGCTCTCTGTCTTTGCCTACAGCCTGTGCACAGCCCTCCCACGTTGTCAGAGGAGGGAGGGAGGCAGGGACAGAGGCTGAGGTATATTTGGGCACATGAAATAACTGTCTAACTCAGTGGATTCTGGGTGGGTGGGATCTCTGCCCCTTCTTTCACTAAGCAAGACCCGCAGCTCAGCTGTCCTGACTTTGGTGCCAGCTCCGATGAGGCTTCAGTCTGCTGCTGGCCCCAGTTGGTGCCAAGGCAAGAATCTGGCTGGGCAGCTTCTGTAGGGAGTGCCTTCAGAGCACTGTAGACCATTTGTCCAAGACTTGAAAATATGATTGCAGCATCTTCCTCTGCTTCGGTTTCATTCTGGGGAGAACAAACCTGTTTACATCTTTATGTACGTTCAGCAGATCCATGGAGGCTTAGGGTCTAGAAGGCTGAGGTATAGGCAGAAATCAATAATGACATGTTTTTCACATAGTCATTCTCATGAACTATTATTGTCATACCCTTTCCACTGTTCTTTCTGGCTCTACTCTGTCCCCCTGCTCTGTCCTCGACGACACTGCCAGAGACCTTCATTGAAGACCTGTCTGACCAGCCCTCTGCTGTTGGCCTCGAGGCCTCCTCTAGTCAGACCTCAGCCTCACAGTCCAGCCTTGTTTTCTGCCTCCCCTCTTTGTCTGCCTTGGCTCCAGGCCACCAACGTCTGGAACAGATCTCTCCTTCTGGGACATACTGTTCCCTTTGAGAAGCTTCCCTCCCTCCCCCAGGCAAAGGTGGCATGTCTTCCTCCTCTACCCCCAAGTAGTGCTTTGTTCAGACCTCAGGTACATCACTGGCTGAGGTAAGGTTTGTTCCTTGTCCATGTCACCCACCAGCTGTGAGTGCCTCAGGGAAAACACCTGCCCTCCAACCTTCCTGTCTGAGCTGAGCAACACTGACCAGTGGTAAAGCACCAGGTCTGCGGCAGGGGGTCAACAGCTGCCGGTTAACTCAAGGAGTTCAGGGGCTGAGGTTTCTTTAGAGCTCATGATGGACAAAGTTCTATCTCAGTGTCTCGTGGGAGCCTTGCACCCTGGGAAGGGAGGTAACATCATTCTCATTTATTTTATAGACATGGAGACTGAGGTCTGCGCAGTCAGCTAACTTGCTCCAGGCTGTAGCCTAATAAGGACCAGGACCCACGTCTCCTGTGGTCCAGGCTAGTCTGGTTTCAGTAATACCAAATTTTATAATTAGAGAGAACCGAAGAGATAATTCAGAACAAACCCCTCATTACTGGAGAGGGAAACTGAGGCCTGGCCTGAAGATACTTTCTCAAGATTACGTAACTAACTGATGCCATATGGAGAATTGGATCACAGGCTCTGGACTTCTAGCCTAGCCTTCTTACTGCTTCTCCCTACCCCTCTTCTGCCTCCCTCCTGTATACAACCACCAGAGAACGTTTGGGGACCATCATTCTACATGGACAGGAGGGTGAAGAACTTAATGAGCACCCTGAGTTAGGGGGAATGTAGAAATGCATAAAACTGGCCCTGCCTTCCAGGAGCTTCCCTGGAGATGTGAGACCAGGGCAGGACCTTGGTACAGGGAGGAAGGAGAGGAGAGGGTGAGGGGAGAGCCTCGGGGTCCAGCCCAGGAGGCGGGAGCCTGGTGCTGGCCCCAGAGTAGGGGCAGCAGGTGGGCACATCTGGGTATTTAGAGGCTGGCCTGGTGGGCACAGAGGATCCACGGGGGTGAGGAGTCCCTGTTGAGACTCCTGACCAGCAGAATGAGGCAGGGTTGACTGGACCAAGGGGAAAGCTGTCCTAGCAATTCTGATTCTCAGTGTCTGAGCAAAGAGGTCCGGCTTAGCCAGCCTGTTGTGGCCTGAGAATCCCCCCTGTTTCCTGGACAAACACAATGTGGAGTACGTTCACAGAGGAGGGTCGGGCAATGGACAGCGAATCCCCTCATTGTCTGAAATGTGTCAGAGGAGGGCGGTGTGCGTGTTTCTGGCTGGTTTATCCCTATTGTGCTCAAGTGAATTTTTGTTCACTTCCAGTTGGTCTCTCCCATCCCTTGAACCTCAGGGCTCTCCTAGGTCATTTGCTCATCTAGGTTTGATACAGGGCCAGGTAGGTGCTGGCTACTCTTTCTATTTTTATTTTGTCCCTTATTGGGCATATAGACTGAGGGGCTGGGCCTCCCTCACTGCAGGTTCCGTCCCAGCTGGCAGACTGAAACATACAATTTGCCCAAATTACAGAGAATGTGATGTTTTTCTAATAGGTACCTTGGATTATTTTCCAAAACATGACCAGGTTATAAACATCTCAACTTCTAGGGCAGGGAAAGTGTGTGGTGTCATATCATTATTGTTTACACCTTAGGTTTACGTTGCAATTTATATTTATAAAGATCATTTCATCTCATAACAAGGCAGCTAGGTTTACTCCCATATCACAGGTGAGAAATTTGACTTAGGCTGTAACCTGCCCAGGATAGGGTAGCTGCTTAAGGCCTGAGATGGGACACAGCTCAGGCCTCCTGTTTATACATTCAATGCTCTTTCTACTCTACTATGCTCCAACCATATGCAAATCCCTGGAGGGTGTAGAACCTAAGAGGAACTCAATAAATATTTGTTGAATGAGTGAACTTTGGCTGTTTTATTTCTTTTTTTTTTCTTTTGCCACACGTAACCATAAATGGATGCTCTTTGGCAGCAAGGGACACTACTCTGAGAAGTATTTGAATTTCTTGCTACGATAAGGAACTGGTGAGTTCTCTTCTCACCCAGTCTTGCCTCCTGGAACTGGGTCATGCACACTAAATAATTAATTCCTTGAATCTTTTACTCAGAGCTTTCTGCTCCTAATGCTGAGATGATCTATCCAACATTGATCTTTTTTAAAAAAATTTTTACCTATTGATTTTAGAGAGAGAGGAAGGGTGGGGAAAAGAGAGAGAGAGTGTGAGAGAAACATTATTTTGTTCCACTTACATATGCATTCATTGATTGCTTCATGTATGTGCCCTGACCAGAGATCGAACCTGCAACCTTGACATATGGCAAGAGCTCTAACCAACAGAGCTACCTGACCTGGGCCAACATTGATCTTTGAAAGGTCCCTGAAAGAGGCAGAACTTAGTGCTTGTTGTCATAAACCTTCAGATAACCCATCTAGCTGCCCATAATAGATACTCTCGGCCTAATCAGGTCAGACATCCAGCGGGTTAATTCGATCCTCTCCTGCTGCTCTTCTCCACCAGCCTCTTTCAGATTGAGGAAGAGGATCATGTGGGTTATCTTAGATATTTATGGTTTTGTAGGTACAGGGAGACCTACCTCTCCCTTCTCACTGACCTCTGAACTCCCCAAGATTGTGTGGCGAGGGCTGGGGAAAGAACAAGTGGACCATGCCAGGTTGGGAAGGAATGCATGGGGTGGGGGAGGTAGTTATCAAAATATCTCCTGGGCCTACTCTTTCCCTAAGTGACACTTAGGTCATGTTGCTTAGAATCTGCAGCTGATCCAGCTGGCCTCATTAGAGCAACCTAATTAGATTCCTGAAGTCAATAGAGTAGAGTGGAAAAAAGAGTCGGCTGAGACCAGAGACCCGCGTTCTAGTGTGCGTTCTAGTATGCGTTCTAGTGTTGGTTGTTCACAGCTTAGTTACATGGCCTTGAGCCAATCACAGAATTTTGCCTGCCCTCAGATTTGTTATTAAGGAAATAAAAGGGGGCATAAAGGGCTGTGGCATTTTAAAGGAGCCTCTTGGGCTTTAAAGGAGCCTTTATGGGTAAAGAAACTTGGGTTTCTGTGGTTCTCGGAGCCCACTCTACCTGTCCTCATGATTAGCTCAGTCTTCTCCCCAGGCTTCCTCCCCCTGTGGCCGGAGCTTGCTTTGGCAAACACTTTTCTCCTGGCCCGATCCACCCTCAGGCTAGAGCAGATAAGAACTGCCTTTGCTGTCGTCCTACTCTCCGGCCCTCCCTCCGAGCAGCATGGAGAAAGGTCTAATGTTTTGATAGTGTTAGGGACCAATGGGGTATTGGTTGGTGTAGGAGGGGAGGGGAAAGATCCTTGAGTGGAAAGAAGCCAGCCCAGATGATCAGGATTGTTGGTATTAGCGTGTGAATGTCCAAACCTGTAGACAATTACTATGAAAATTTATTTGAGCCAAATAGAAGCTATGCCTGGAAGCAAGATCTCAACTGACTGAGATAAATGCTTCCAGGATATGAGTTTGCAGCTTCTTTTATGTGTCTGGAATTAAGGAGGGAACAGAAGCAAGATTACATGAAGGTGGGAGAAGGCAAGGCTGGGGGTGGATGGGGCTTAATTACAGGATAGTTAAAATTATGTGCTTTCTTGAGGATGGTCACACTTTTTAGAAGAATGGGTCTGAAAAGAGGCATTTCAGAGGTGCATTAACCTAGATGCCCAGAAACAATGAACAAGGCCTGCTTAAGAGAAGCCTCTTACTAAGGAAATTATATGCCTGGGGTATGACTACCTATCACGACCTGACCAGTTAGGACTTTATGATCAGGTCACCCCTGTGAGGTTATTTTCTGTAGAACCCCTTTTTCATTCACATTGGGATATCCAAGCTCTTGATGCTCCAAGGTACCTGGACTCTGTTGAGTTGCTTGACCAGATGGTACTAGATGAGTTCTTAATAATAAGGCCCCAAGTTTATCCCCTTCTACTCTGGCCAGGCTTTGAGCTTAGGGGTGACCAGACACTCTGGAGGAAGAAAGGTCATAGTGTCAATAGGAGGCTGCTCATTGGGAGCTTAAAGACATCTCACACAGACAACATAAGAGTGGGTAGATGTGGGGAAGGTAGATCTGTCTCCAAGACTT